AGCAGTGCAAAGGTCACCTGGTGCTGTACTGAGGATAAATATCACGTTAGGCACACAGGGGTCACCTTTCCCCACAAACACAGGGAGGATGAAACAAGGACACCACAAGAAGCTCCGTTTCTGCCCCAGGGGGTGTTTTTTGGAGGTGACCTGTGAGAGCCTGGCGTGGGGCTGTCCCCGAGGCAGCTCAGCCTGGCTGACACACCAGCTCTCACAGCCAGGCTGGGAACCATCTGTTAAAAATATCCTCGAAAGCTGCACTCTCACAGAAACAACCCTGGCTCCTTCCCCTCCAGCTGCTCAGAACTGGATCCAGACTTTATTTCTTCCATGCCAGAGAACAGGAGCAAAGACATGGATGAATCCAAGCAGGCTCATCCCTGCCCTTCCCAGTCTCCCCTTCGCCCTCCCTAACTCAGCCAGATCCTCACCACACCTCTGATTTAATTCCATCTTGCTGCTGACAAACAACAAAAGGGCAAAAACAAACAACAGGAGAAAACCACCTGAAATCAGCAATTTTCTTTGTAATTGGAGAAAAGGGAGGGCAAGGGGGGGTCAAAAAAAAATATGAAGACTTAAAATCCCTAATGAAGAAAGCAACATAGTTCTTGTCCTTATTTGGAAGGGGATCTGCACCTGGAGATCACGCTCAAAACAACAAACACAACATCAGCTGTAACAATAAACAGTAGTTTTAATGATAAACTGTTTTCCACCTGCTTTTTTTTTTTTTTTTTTTTTTGAGTTTTATACATTCAGGTGCAATGAAGGAAGGAGGAAACATCTGCTAGGGAATGCTGAAGCCCCCAAAAAATAACATATCACCACGGCCAGCACTCCATGTTCTTCATATGAGGTGTCTAAAGACACCGAGAGGAGAAACACAAGACACCAAATATTATCATGTACCTTCATCTTTTTACAGTGCAGAGGCAATCACTGTAATGGCAAGTGCTAATCAGCATTTGGGTATGCAAATGAACTTAGAGAAGTCTGTGCATAAAACAGATACAAGGAGAGTAGCTGGAAAAAAAAAAAAAAAAAAAGCCAATTAAAGCAACCTTGACTTTCGGGCACTGACTTTGTTACATAGAAACAACAGGAAAAAAAAAAACCATGACAACAAAACCACAAAGTCAAACAAGCTCACATGTACCTTTATCTTTACCTAAGTTTCTCAGAGCCTATAAAGGCAATTAATTACAAATACACACCTTATGAACTACTATGATCTTAGCCAAGGAATACTGAAAACAAGTTGAGAATTGGGTCAGTGTAGTCTTAGCAGACTCCTACAACACCCTCTGCTAGTCCAGTATGCAGTAAGTCATGCATTTCTCAAGCTCTTTAAAGAAGAGAAATACCTGGATTCCTTTTTCTCATCAAGAGAGAAGAAATCTTCCAGAATGCCAACTGCTATCTAAATAAAATGAGTGCCATGGCAGCCTGCAGTCATCCCTGCCCTGGTGTGCTTCTTTACAGCTTCACAAGGAAGGGGATATGTCTATATTACAGGCAGCAGAGCTCAAAAGGGTGTAGATAAGTAGAGCAAAATGGTGCTGGGAACCCCAGATCCACCCACACACATTGCAAAGGCTCTGCTTCAGCTCCACTCAGGAGGCCAGGGATGAAAAGCCCATTAGGCAGCTGAAGTGCACAAAGTAAACTCCTGACAGAGATATTCTGGCTTAAGTTCAGCCAGAATTAATCCAGTTGGTGAGGTCTCCCTGCAAACCAACACACAGTAAGTGGGATGGGACGACTGCAAGATTCCCCTCCAAGGTTCTCTCCAGAACCAAGGTGTCAGCACACACAAACCCACGAGCAACAGTAAAGAGTTCACTGACCAAAGTATAATTCAGTGTGTGTGAACTGTCTGCAGGGTGCCACAGCCTGGTAAAAATCAGCACTTTGGGTACATAACCATGATACCATGGCTCTTTCTTTCTGCTCTTTGAGTACTAAATCTTTTATTTCCCCACACAAAATGGATCTGTTAAGGAACCACCAGCATCTTCCTTGAGGACAACCCAGCAGAGCTCTCCAGCCATAGGATGGGCTAGACCATCCTGATATAATTTAGACAATGATCAAACACCACATTCCATGTTGCATTTCATAATGGAGTGCAACTGCAGGATCTCACAGCTCAAGACAGCGTGAGGGGAAGTGTTAAAAAAGCACTTGGCAGATGAATGTTCTTGTTAGGAGTTACTTGTCCCACTAATGATTTTGGGGTCTGCACAGAAGTCTGACCAAGAAAGAACAATTGAAACTTATTATAAAACACTGAGCACACCGCTACCAAAACATGGTTTACAAGATTCCTGCTCTGTTCTCATTCCCATGCTGCTCCCCAGGCTCTGCACTGGACATTAATTTTCATTACACATGATTTAGGGTTGTTATAAGGTGGGCTTTGTGCTCACCAAGAACCCACAATCTTTAACAAAACAGAATTTCTACTTTACTGGACAAATATACCAAAAGAAATTGTGGCATCTTGGTGGGTTGCTAAGCAACCAAGAGCTCCAGTGTCACTTGTTTGTGATCAATTCAAGTCATTCATCAGGCTCTGAAGCGCCAGTTCAGGAATTCCAACAAAATCTGTGCCTTGGGAAAGCCACGGGGACTTCCTGACACACAATAACACTTTCTTTCCTCTAAGATAAACTTCGTAGATGTTCTTTTGATCCGTGTGAGATGTGAATTCATTATTCCTAACATACTGCTAATGGGAAAAGCTATAATTAACTAACTACAAGCATTGTAACTCTTGTAACTCGTGCAAGATAAACCGAACTAATTAGTAGTGTTTAAAGTAGTCCCTGTCCTCTCCCACTGGGAGAGGAGCAGATCCTTTCTTATCACAGAAAAAACTGTCCACAACATCGTCTTCTGTAATGAATAGATACCTTTTTGTTTCATTTTCCCTTCCAAAAAGAAGTGAGAAAGTGCATTTTTATTGGCAAATAAGGTGGCTACAATCCAAGCCACTTGAGGTACGTATCCATGTTGTGAATAATGTTATCTTTCATTTAAAAGAAGGGTTATCTGTTAGTTTTCTTGGGGAAAAGAGGTGGACTGTTATATTTCCATTCATTAAGTCTAATTACTGAAGTAACAAATACCAAATGCCCACGATAATTACCCTCACTCACATCGAGTTAAATGTGATCAGGGCATGTTGCTGAAGCACACTCGCTTTATTTCAGCCTCATATTCAGAATTCATTCCTATTTCCATAAAAACTAATAACAAACAGGAAGAGTTTAGAAACAAACCCTTTTGGAAGCTGTGTATGGCAAAACTTCAGCTTCTTGATTGCTGACAGGTGTTTCTTTCTAAAGATATTTCATGATAATTCCATGTACATTGGGCAATATTTCTGAAGAAACTCCGATACCTTCTGCAAATCTCAGTGTCTTATCTTTTGCATCGCATTTTAATGTCACATGATCTGGTCTTGTAGTTCCTCTGCAAGCCACACTTCACTAACTGCAGATGCTCAGCCCAAATGAGGACCACAGAAACTGGCTGAAAAGAATTTCCTACAGAGAAACTGGCTAAAAAGAATTTCCTAATTTTTTAACTACCCTCTGGAAGAGGTGGGTGAGGGTTTTTTGGTTTGATTTTTTTTTTTTTAAACACAAAGAAAATGTATTATTTTTAAGCAACAGAGAAGTGTTAACACAGTAGCAGTTGTGCTTTTCAGTACTTCCTATCAGGAAAAGCCAAGCAGGGGTTCATGGGAAGCAGTGGGCAAAGGATGACATGCACATCTCCAACAAGGCAGCACTGCACATGTGTTCACAAATGGCCAAAAATTACATATTCATTAAAAGTGCAGACTTTCCCTCCTCTCCTTCTCTCAGAGCTGCATCCAAAGCCATAATATTTATTATTTATTACTTATGGAATGGTGTTTGGGGGAGGTACAAAGCGTGTATTTAACTCAGTCACACCATAGGAACCTTTGCCAGCAAAATAAAAATGCCACCTGCCAACTCTCTGGTGAAATTTTCCAAAACATGTTTGAAGCAAAACTATTACCAGGTGATGCTGATGATGAATTTCCTTACTTTCTAATTGCTATGGTAGAATACCTGTGCATTATCCAACATGCCAGGGCTTAGCCCCTTCCTGCCCCAAGATAAGAAGCAAAGTATCCCTGACCATAGAATGTGACTATGTCATATTTATAGAAGTGATGGGTGAAAAGTCTGTGTACATTTGCTGTGTCAGACTATCAGAAAACAGAACCTTCTTGCATCCTGAAAACCCAAACCAAGCTGAGCCCAGCAATGCTCTGACCAATGCAACACAAATCACTGACACACAGCACACAACACCGAGGTTTAAAGATTCCTACAGATTTCCTGCAGCGCAACACGAGCACATCGCTTCCCCGGGATTAAAAAAACTGGGGACTTTTGCAATTATTTAGGTATTGAGGGGGAAAAAACCCACACAAAATCAGAGCCAAAATCACTAGGAGAGAAGAAACAAGTGTTTGCCACAGAGGCAGGACCTCCGGGCTGGCAAACTTGAACGCAACTGAGCCGATACGAGAGTGACCCGCCGCCCCTCAGCCGAGCCCCCCACGGCCCCCTCCATCCCCTCCCCGGGTCCCGCATCCACCCGCGAACTTTCCCCGGGCAGCGGCTCCTCCGCCTGCAGGACCCGCTCAGAGCGCGGGGAGCCCGAGCATCCCGGTGGGGAAGGAGAAAGGGGAAGGACCGACACCTCGGGACCCCCATGGGACATCCCGGGACCCCCTCGGGGCATTTGCCAGGGCCGAGCCCGGCTCCGCTTCCTCATTGCTCCGCTGGGCGCAGCCCAGGTGCGGTGCCGGCAGGAGGAAACCCAGTTTTGAAATAATGATAATAATGATTCCAGAGGGTTTCTGTGGCCGGGCAGGACGAGGAGAGGTGGCTGCAGGGCAGCCACTGGGCTGGGCACCCCCGGACCCCCCTCCCGGTGCCCCCCCCCGGTACCTTGAGCCCGGAGCGGGCGGAGGGTCGCGGCAGCAGCGGCTCCGCAGCCCCGTCCCGGTGGCTCCGAATTAATCGCTCCACCCCGAAAAAAAAAAAAAAAAAAAAAAAAAAAAGGAGGAGGGAGGGAGAGAGAGGGGGGAGAAAAAACCCAACGCAAGCACCAGCCGCCCCAAACCCAGCCCCGCTCCACACCCACGAGGAGGGAGAGGGTCCCTCCGTGACTGGCATCGCTATCTCCTCCGGCGGAGCTTACAGGGAGCCATGGCAACGAGCCCCGCGCTCCCCAAAGCGCTACCGCCTCCCCCAGGGGGGTCGAGCAGCTCCCACCCCAGCCCCGACCCCGCTCCGGATCCCACCTGCCCGATCCCAGAGCCGGCACCGAGGAGCCTCCGCCCGCCGCTCCTCCGGGAGGCACCTGCGGATGGAGGGAGGGACCGGGAATCGCGGCGGGAAGCAGCGAGGAAAGGGAGCCCTGTCCGCCCCTCGCCCGAGGGGATGTCCCGCGGCCAGGGCAGGTGCGGGAGGGGGGCTCGGAGTGCCGGCCAGCCCAGAACCACAACGGGAGGAGGATGAAGGAATGGCCGAGCTGGGGGGGCACTGCCCCCCACCAGGACCCTCGGGTGCTCTCACCTCGTCATGGTGGTGACCAAAATCCAGTCAAGGAGGGGAGAGGCGCTGCCAGGGAGGGGACTGGCCTCGGCCCCGGCTTAGCCCTTTCTGGGGTGCAGAAGTGTCGTTGCTTTTCAGAGGAAAGGGTGAAAATTCAGAAAAATCCAGCCCTCCCTGCCCCACAGCTCTCCCCCTGTAAACTCCCGGGTACCAACCATCCCAACACCCGCCGTTTCATACATCCAAACCTCTGACAAATCCATCTTTTCCTCCTTTATTTTTGCTGACATCCCCTCCTAACGTTTGCTGTGTGTGTTCCCCACGACCACCACACCGGCTCAGGTCGCTGTGAGTGCTCGGACTGTGCCTGTGTGGGGTTCACCACTGTGACCCCTGGGTGCAACGGGCTAAATTTTTAAGTGATTGGTGAAGACAGTCCGTCACAAATCTGCCAGTCATTGTCTTAAGCACTCCTTGCAGAGAGGTGGGGGAGGTCAGACATAATCATTTTCATGAGGCCTCGGACTTCTCAGACGATTCTGTCTCGCTGCTGACCTTTGTGTGCTTTGCTTTTCTCTGGGCTTTGCCTAATTCGATGAGCAATAATCACAAAGTAACATTCACGGACATTAAACCATAAACCCACCCTACCGAATCACAGCTACACTCACGGGGATTATTAGCATTTGGGTTAAACATTTTTTGGACAGTGGCAGTCAGAATTTGTTGATGTGCTGGCCGACTGATGTTTGTCTCCAGCAGATTTAAGCAGGTGAGCTCACTATTTGGCCAGGAAGTAAATGAATAAATTTAAGGGAAGGTATTATAAAGATGGTAGTAAAAGAAAAAAAAAAAATCTGAAAACTGGAAGGGAAAAGGGCATAATAATTTAATATATTTTTTACAGGAAGTAAATGCAAAACTGTTAAAGCAATGGTATGTTTGCAGTCACGCATGGTCAGGCAATTCACGGATATAATTTTCATCTTAATCTGTGTTTAAGTGAATTCTATCCAATATAAATACCAAACTTCTCCCCAAATACATGGAGCAACACATGGAAAGTGTGCTGTGGTTGCTGAGGAGGCTCTGAGGTTGGGCACTGGGATTTCTGTGCGGTGCAGACCCAGCCCAGAGCACACACAGGGAGTGGGAGCTCCCCCTTTGAATCCTGCCCTCACAGCCAAATCCTCAATTGACTCAGTGTTTCGTGCAGAGACAGTTAAAGGCTATATTTACAGCACATTGCTTCCCAAAGCAACCAAGAGCTCAGCAACAGGCTGTGCCCCCCTGCAGGGGAACCTCAGGAAGCGAATGGACAGGGAATCAGCTGGGGAGGAATGTCTAGAGAGTGTCAGGGCTGCAGAGGGGTTGAAAAGCCATTTGACCCGGCACCAACAAGCCATCAGAGATCCACTCAAATCCAGAGGGGGCTGCAGATTCACTGGAGCGTTGGCAACAGCCAAAGACACCAAGGGTGGGAAGCTGCTGGTCTGGGAGCTGAGATAACAGAGCTGGGAAACGCCAGGAAGAGCTGGCATTGCCCCTCCTGCCACTGCCAAGAGGGTGAAAAATGGGGACAATGACTCTTCCCTGCTCCTGGCCAGCACCCTCCTGGATGCCTCAGCAGCACCAGGAGTTTCCAGGTTGATCTCTGACATAAAGGAGAGAGACAAGAATTTATTCACCTCCAGTGACAGCTGCCAAAGCCAACTTCCCAGGCTGCCATCCCTGCACCTCCCCATCCCACCCCAGGCACCACAGAGGGAAGCTGGGTTTGCAAAATGCACCCACCACTTACGCTTTCATTTCCCTGCTGGCCCAACTTTTAGATCCTCTCCATCAACATGATTTCCCCAAACCCCTTCTCACTTTTTCAGGTTTCACCCCATGATGTGGAAACCATAAAATGGTTTGAATTTTTGACACAGAATCACTCAGAAACTGTTTTCCTTCCACCAGGAAACCAGCTGATGGACAAGTCAAAGTACCTCAGCTTAACAAAAGCTGCTCCACACTCCCAAAATAAAATATGTTCATGATAAAGCACGGCCCTCACCACATCTATTTGAGAATAGGGTTTGCCTTAATTAAAGAGTAAATAGATATAATCCATTGCACTTTAGAATTCACCGGGTGATGAAATAGGACAAATGTCACAGCACTTCAGCCTGCACAGAACAAAAATAAAGACAGAGAGGCTCAGTTAGGTCCTCACTGTGTCTCCACAAAACTGCTCTTTATTTTGGGATTTCCTGCTGAAAATCAAGGAGCCTTTTCATCAAACTCACTACTTAATGTGAGAAGGAGAGAGCAACACTGCGAGAAACACTGGAAAAATTAATTAAATCTCTCTAGGCTAGCACTGATTACATATTTAAAATACATGTTAAATGCATAATATTGTCTCAAATCAAGTGCGAGGAAAAACCATCAGAATATTTATCTCAGGAGTTTTGTGAAGAAATCAGAAGGAACAGAGGGTGTGTTTGTGCTGATCAAACTGTAACTTGTTACCTGATTCACATCCTCCCCCGAGACACACCTACCATTTTAAACCCAATTCCAGAGTCTGATGGCAGGCTCAGAAGATTCCCAGTTGTATTTTAAATGCCATTTAAGATACATGAAATACTCAGGACAAAAGAACAGATTGGCCAGATTTTCTTCAGAGAAAATTAATTTGCTGGTAATTGCCAGCACATCTCCCACCACCACCTCTTGTTAATAAAGATGCTGCAGTTTTCTGAATAGGTAGAATATGCAAAAATGGGAATGAATTTGAATATCAAGGACCACGATTTGATATGGATTTTTTTTAAAAAAATAGGATAAGCTTCAGGGAGTCTGTTTTGGTCCTGGACAAATTAAATGGCTAAAATAATTGCCTTCACGCCAACTAGCAATTTTTCCATGTCAAAATTTGGGTTTGAGATGATGCCCTGCTGCAACACTTCACAGTATTTTCATTAACTTTGGAATTTTTGGAATATTTAAATTATGCCAGCTGAGATGTAGCTTGAGAAGCACAAAGCTGCATTGGAAACTTTGAGTTCACAGGAACCATAAAGGGAGAAACACAGATGAGAGAGAGGGTGATGCACGTCCCACTAATGACTTATTAAACATGGATCTGAGCACACCTCATCAACACTTCGCTTTGAAACGGGGAAAGTTAGATGGGTCTTGACCAGAGAGAAACTACAAAAGCGCCAGAAAATGCTCATCTATCCCTTCCTAATGAGGATACAGGAGAAAGCCACGTGATCAAAGGGCAGCAAATTTCAGATGAATTAAAGGAACTACCACTTTTCGCAGTTCGAAGCCATCCCAGGAATTCAGGTTCTGAAGAAACTGGAGTGAAATGCTGGGATTCTTTTTCTCAATCTAATTTTTTTAAGGCTGGATAATTTTATGACTGCTAATAACATTTGTAACTATGCGAGCTAAGATAATAACAATGGTAATCAAATCTCATGCTTCAGGGCATAAATTGATTGCTTGGAGGGGCTATGGAGGTTTCCCCTTTTTTTCCCACCACTGAGTACATGATTTCACAACTGACTAAGTGCATTACAAGGGGAGGGTTTGCTCCTGTAGCCAGACAATTGATCTAATCCATAATAACAAATATGACACCAAAATACAGTGAGCTGCCCGTCTGCTGTGCAAAACACTAAAAGGTTTAGGATCAAATTCAGGGAAATATTTGGTTCTTGTCTTCCAGTTAGTTTCCTACAGTTCTTTTGGAGGAAGGCAGCGAAATAAATAAATCCAAAATGCAGACAACTCCACAAAACTTACTTAGGAGCAAGAATGTCACAGTGGATCTGAAAAACCCGGGTTAGGCAAGGGGATTCATCCATAGTGAGGTTCAGATCTAAAGTTCAGGACGAAAAACAATTCACAGAGTAGGCTGACCCATGGCCAGCTTGTAAGAACTATATATTTCCTTCAAAAAAAGAGGCCATGGTCTCTTTTCCTTGAAAAAACAGGCACAGCAGGAGATAACAGAGCTCAGCCTGGAGATGGGGATTTAGGTTTAATTCCCAGCTGTACCAGAAAGGTCCACACAAGTTCGCACTCTGCTCCAGGACAGACAGGCTGAGCTCTGGAGAACATATTTCATCCAGCAGAAAATAATTGAAGATTCACTGGACCCAACCTGGGGCAAAGCTGAGCCCTTTCTCTGCTACAGAATTTGTGGAAGAAAGGTTTGATCTCCAGTGGTGCCACCACAAACTATTCTTGTTCTTTCACAGAATCACAGGATGGTTTGGGTTGGAAGGGACTTAAAAAATCCTCCAGCTCCAATCCCCTGCCGTGAGCAGGGACACCTTCCACACAGAATATTTGCTTCAAACATGCACTAAAGGTCTTAGAAATCGCCCATAAATCTTCTTTCTGAACGAATATATGATGCAAATAAGAACAACTTTGTGTCTTGTTATCTTTGAGGTCATTGCCTG